TTCTGTAAAATCGATCACGTCAGCTATTTGTAGACATTTGTAAACAAAAATTATTTTTTCATTTTAAAAATCTTGCAAAAATAAAATATATATTTCTGAAACGTTATTCGAGGAACATTAGCAAATTTAAAATTAAGTTAATCTCATCTGAAACAAATATTACTTACTTATAAAATGCTGTATACAATAATTTTTTAATCACTGGGTCTTTATTTATGTGTTAATCAACCGGATTGACTGCAGAACGTGATCATAATTATCTATGGTGTAGCAGATGATAATTTTCATTAGGGTCTTGTTTTGTTTTTATAGTAAGGGGAGACAACCCTTAAAACACGTGACGTGTTATGAATCGATTTATCGGTTTTTACATCCCTATTTCAGAAATTCTGCATCGATATACGTATATAAAACAATTAGAAATTCTTTTAAAACCAGTCGGGGTTATCAGATTGCAATAAACTTCAAAATATATGATCAGTAAATATAGTTTTACTTAATAAGAATATTCCCTAAAAATTATCTCATCGAAATTGAACTTTAAAAGATGCAAAAACTTTATAAATTATTTCATTTTAAATTGTAAAAAATTAAAACAAATCTTGTAAAAATTACTTTTTCATCGAATTTTTTTTTCTTCAGACAATATTGTTTTTAGTATATATTATTCATAAAACCAATTAAAAGCTTCTTTGATTAAATATTGGCTTAATTTTATTGCGTTTATTCCGAAATGATTTTCGGTAAGACTGAGTCCGATTTTGCAAATTAAAACCGGGGATTTAAATACTTAAAATATTCTGCTTTTAACTGATGTATTCACTACAAATTATTTCGAAGAATTTCTGAAGTTTTAATAAAATTAATTAAGGGATTGAAACACATATAAAAAAGAATTTCACCAAAGTTTTCTATTAAAAAATGATCCCATTCACTTGCGAATAAGTCCTGAAAATTTCATTAAACTCCGAGAATTATTTTGATTTTTGCAAGAATTTGCAAATCAATGTGTCTGTCACCGCAAAAAGAGGTGAAAATTTGATATGCAAAAAAAAGTTAGTACAACCGCCGACGCAAGAAAAACAAGCTTTTTAATCAAAATTTCGAATGTTCTAAAAAGGAGTAAAAAAATTAATAAAATAATCAGAAAATAATTTGATCCTTTCTCTTAATAATGACATAGAGACTTTGACAATAAAACTACGTTTTCATTAGGTTTGGAGCATTTTTTTCATCAGGGTATACTGATTTTTTAGCGATCTCGTGGAGGTGCCTAATATAAAAATGACCGCAACTTGACACTGGCGTTTGTTTTGGTTCTAATTTCTGGTGTGTTGCAGGTTCGTCATATTAAGCTGTATGAATTTCTGAAAGGACTAACCTTGTGAGGTGTGCCAAAAACCTTCTACTTACGGGGAAGGATGTCTCTATATACGTATCTTCATTCAACTTTTTTTTTGTATTCTTTCTATTTAGTTTGCACAGGCAATAAAATATGCTGTTCATTCTACGGAATTATTTGTAGGGACATTCATACTCGCTTGTTTGAGGTAATTCTCTAACATCCATGACATCTTTGTCAGAGTGTAAATATGACGATGTTATTTAGGGATATGACTCGAGTTCTTAGATTAATATTTTGGATTTATACCACGTTGTTGAACAAAAGGTCGCCTCTTTGCATTTGGTAAGGTCGAATGTGCTGGGCACCCAATGAGGATCAACGTTGCTGCAATAATCATGGTCATTAGGTCAAGCTATCTTACCATTTTGGTCTTGGTTGGTCTAAGCTAAGATTAGTAAACATATGACTTTAGTAATGAAGAGAGTGTAAAACATGTGCAGAGCGAAGAATTGTTTTAGAAACGCAAGATCTAAAAGTAAACTGCTGCCAACAATCCGAAATGGACAAGTGAAATGTCTGAAAGGGAAAGAGTGCTTGGAGAATATGACACTTACAGGACACGTTGAAGTTTCTCACCTGTGGAACTCTATTCCAGTTTCTTGCTTCCCTCCTAGGTAAAATCTTCAAACATTTAATAGCAAAGTCAGTCGTCATCTTCCTGTCTTCTTGAACCCTGTCCTTTTAGAGTTCTTCCTCCGTAATAAAGTATTCTCATTTCCTTTCACTATCGGTGGCCTGCGTCTTAGTGGTATTAACGCTTTGCTTGGGGTCAAATAATAAAAAAAAAGACGGACAAGGCAATCATTTCGAAATTGCAATGAGCTATATTAAGCTCTATGAATTTCTGAAAGGACTAACATTGTGAAGTGTGCCTAAAACCTTCTACTTACGGGGAAGGACGTCTCTATATACGTACCTTCATTCAACTTTTTACGAGTTTCCCATGGGGAAAAGGGAGGTCAATATGCCATCTTCAGTTCAGCGCTTAAATTAAAGACCAATTTAGATATAGAAGTTTAATCTTTAATCCCTTTCTCGCTTTCTCTCGCACCTCTCACTATATATATATATATATATATATATATATATATATAATAATATTTTTTGTTTAAAAATATGATTCCTTAAAAATATTATTATAATATAAGCTCTACTTCTATATGGAGCACTGTCTCCTTAAAAATAAAAACAAAAAATACTAAGGAACCCCGGATTATGCACCCAAAGTGTTCTTTTCTATTTTCTGCATACCTACGCACTTATATATATATATATATATATATATATATATATATATATATATATATATTGATAATATTAGTGGTTAATATACACACATATATATACATATATCTAAAATATATAAATATATATATACATACATACATACACACACACACACACACACACATATATATATATATATATATATATATATATATATATATATATATTCCAAAGGATAGAATCCAGGTAGAACTCAATGTCCAGGGCAGAATAAGGATATCATAAAAGGCAATAAAAACACTAGTACTCCATGGTCATAATTTATTACATTGCAATCGTAAATAGGATCCAATTCATCAGACATACAATGACCATGGAGTACTAGTATTTAAGCCTTTTTATTATTATTATATATATATATATATATATATATATATATATATATGTATTAAATTGTGAGAGATTTAAAGTGCCTAAATTGCTGGTACTTTTTCCGTAGTTTACAGGTGGAAAAACAATTTAGGCGAGCAGGTTTAATTTTAAAGTGCTTGATATTAAAGGTAAGGATAGAGCATTAATAGAATTAATGTGGCGAAAATTATCACTTAACTGAGTGGTGTTATTTCATTTATGCCGACTTCGAAGTTTCGTGAACGAATTGTAGTAATGCCTTCACTCTTCAGAGCCGTTGGTTTCAGCCCTAAAGAGGGAAGGTATTATATATATATATATATATATATATATATATATATATATATATATGTGTGTGTGTGTGTGTGTGTGTGTGTGTGTGTGTGTGTGTGTGTGTGTGTGTGTAAATAAATTAAGTTTGTAACCCTGTGCTAAATATTTACATATAATTACTTGGTGACAATTTAATTTACTTTCTCTGTACAAAAAGTCATTCGTTTGACAAGTGCCAAATAACTGTATGAATTGTGACGAGGATTTAATCTTACAAACGCTGTTTTGCCGGAAGACAGTACTGATTAGCAAATACCTTAAACAGTTTTTTTCTTGAGTTCGAACCCTATTAGCCGCTAATTTAGCTGACATTTGTCGTAAGTTTTGCTCCTTGCCCTCAACAAATCAAGTTGTCACGAAATAATTATACTTGTCCCTGTTAAGCATCGGATTAAATCAACCCGCGTAAAACAAATCTATTTCAATGTCTATGAGGAAAATTCAATTAGACTAGCCATCGTATCAGGTTAAGCGACACTGAAAATATTGGGTCTTATCCAATGACCGAAGTTAAGCAGCGTTGAGCCTGATCAGTCCTTAGATGGGTGACTTCCCACAAATATTGCGTATTGTAAATAATCAATTGCTTTGTGACGGACAAGATAAAGTTAATAAACAGTTATCGCTTCGACCATTTTCAGCCAAATTAATTTAAATGGTAATGAGTACAATCAAATTTCCCTGATTTCAAACTAAACAATTTTCATCACCAGATCTTATTATAGCTCTAAAAACGAACATTTAAATATATATATATATATAGGTATATCCACAGAAACACGATACCTGAGGTGGAAAATTAATTTTTAAAAATGAAAAATATTTCTTGAAGCTTTTATTTTGGTTTAACTCCAAGCTAATTATTTTAGGTGTCTCAATTTCAGTTATCTCCCTGAATATGAATGACGATAAAGATGAGGACAATAAGATTGACAATAAAATGAAGACAATATGAATGGCAATAAAGATGAGAATAATGTGAATGACGATAAAGAAGAAGACAATATGAATGGCAATAAAGATGAGAATAATGTGAATGACGATAAAGATGAAGACAATATGAATGGCAATAAAGATGAGAATAATGTGAATGACGATAAAGATGAAGAGAATATGAATGGCAATAAAGATGAGAATAATGTGAATGACGATAAAGATGAAGACAATATGAATGGCAATAAAGATGAGAATAATGTGAATGACGATAAAGATGAAGACAATATGAATGGCAATAAAGATGAGAATAATGTGAATGACGATAAAGATGAAGACAATATGAATGGCAATAAAGATGAGAATAATGTGAATGACGATAAAGATGAAGACAATATGAATGGCAATAAAGATGAGAATAATGTGAATGACGATAAAGATGAAGACAATATGAATGGCAATAAAGATGAGAATAATGTGAATGACGATAAAGATGAAGACAATGTGAATGACGATAAAGATGAGAACAATATGAATGACGATAAACATGAAGATAATGTGAATGACGATAAAGATGAAGACAATATGAATGGCAATAAACATGAGAATAATGTGAATGACGATAAAGATGAAGACAATATGAATGGCAATAAAGATGAGAATAATGAATGACGATAAAGATGAAGACAATATGAATGACAATAAAGATGAGAATAATGTGAATGACGATAAAGATGAAGACAATATGAATGGCAATAAAGATGAGAATAATGTGAATGACGATAAAGATGAAGACAATATGAATGGCAATAAAGATGAGAATAATGTGAATGACGATAAAGATGAAGACAATGTGAATGACGATAAAGATGAAGACAATATGAATGGCAATAAACATGAGAATAATGTGAATGACGATAAAGATGAAGACAATATGAATGGCAATAAACATGAGAATAATGTGAATGACGATAAAGATGAAGACAATATGAATGGCAATAAACATGAGAATAATGTGAATGACGATAAAGATGAAGACAATATGAATGGCAATAAACATGAGAATAATGTGAATGACGATAAAGATGAAGAGAATATGAATGACAATAAAGATGAGAATAATGTGAATGTCGATAAAGATGAAGACAATATGAATGGCAATAAAGATGAGAATAATGTGAATGACGATAAAGATGAAGACAATATGAATGGCAATAAAGATGAGAATAATGTGAATGACGATAAAGATGAAGACAATATGAATGGCAATAAAGATGAGAATAATGTGAATGACGATAAAGATGAAGACAATATGAATGGCAATAAAGATGAGAATAATGTGAATGACGATAAAGATGAAGACAATATGAATGGCAATAAAGATGAGAATAATGTGAATGACGATAAAGATGAAGACAATATGAATGACAATAAAGATGAGAATAATGTGAATGACGATAAAGATGAAGACAATATGAATGGCAATAAAGATGAGTATAATGTGAATGACGATAAAGATGAAGACAATGTGAATGACGATAAAGATGAGTATAATGTGAATGACGATAAAGATGAAGACAATATGAATGGCAATAAAGATGAGAATAATGTGAATGACGATAAAGATGAAGAGAATATGAATGGCAATGAAGATGAGAATAATGTGAATGACGATAAAGATGAAGACAATATGAATGGCAATAAAGATGAGAATAATGTGAATGACGATAAAGATGAAGACAATATGAATGACAATAAAAATGAAGAGAATATGAATGGCAATAAAAATGAGAATAATATGATTGACGATAAAGATGAAGAGAATATGAAGTGCCAATAAAGATGAGAACAACAGTCCAAACAATGTAAATCGTGTAAATAGTTACTATACCTCATCTCAATATATACAGAGGTCTGTTCTTTAATTACATCTGCATAGGCAAACAGACACACACACAATTTGAATTAAATTGAAATGGATATCTCTGTCACAATGGGTAATTTCCCTTATGGCACCTTATATATGTAAACTGAATATATTTTTAATAAATGTAGTATTTTATTTTTTCGTTTTGAAATTTAATCGTCTTGCCATCGGCGAGGCGATAATTACTGAACTTTAACTAACATATCCATGAGAAATATGGAACTATTTTAACCACTAACCAAGAATAACAGAGATTCCTTTTTAATTAAATTCCAATAATGGCCGTAATGCAACACTCGTTGGGTTAGATCAGTAACCTCGTCTTTTATTTTCTTGTTCAGAATAAGCATTCAAGCTTTGCCATATACACACTATCACTGATGAGTTAGGGGTATCAATCCCTCACTGGCGTTTTTTACCCCGTTTTTTTTGGTGTAACCTTCTAAGATCAAATAAACTCGCATTTCTTAATGGTGTTTTTATTTTTGCTCAGTAAAAAAATATGATGTTTGTAACAAGAAACTAAACAATCATTTGAAAGAATGCGTCGTCGCTATCATTTTACTGCCTTCGACTTTCTCGTCGTAGTCTCCGGTTCTTGTGGCCGATAGACCTATGATCTACTTGTCGTGCCTTTCTTCCCAGGTGTCATTCCTTTGAGGTATGCCCATAAAACCACATTGGCCACTAAGGAGGGGACACAAATATATTGGCCGGTTTTATAGGGCGAGTGGCAAGAGGCAATAAAAGACCAGTCTGGTTCGGAAAGCCCACAAAAGAAACATCGCTGGAATAAAACATGAAAATTTTGAAACAAATCTCGTTTGTTTGATCTGAAACAGAGAAACTAATTGAAAAGACAGATATTTCGATTTTTTTTTCTTTATCGCCAACACTTGGCTGGTGAGGCTTCGTACTCAAATATTTATTCAAGAGGAAAGTATTGATGCCAAACAAATAACCGTTCTTCCAAAATGGATATGAAAGATATAAGTGGACTTTTTACGCATAAACGCAATGTCGCAAAACCGACGTTGTTCTCTCGCAAATGTTCAGATGAATTCCAACAGTTCAAAACCTTTACCACTAGGACACGCCATGCGGTTTACACGGAGCCGAATCACCTTCATTTCCCTCGTATTCCAAATATAAGAATGTTCTTCTCAAACCACTTTTGCCCAAGAACCGCTATATTGTCGAACAGACTCCCATGTGGATGCTTCCTTGAACACTACAATTTTGCCATTTTCAAGTTAATCTTTATCTAACCTTCATATCTTTATAATCATTACTTCCAACCAAATCCTCGTATGCTCATATCACACATCTCATTTATCGTAACCATGACAACTGTACTCATCTACTGTGAGTGGCTTTAAGTACTAGACTGGAGGTGAGGTATCATCAATTTACAGTTGATCTGATAAGATGTAACCGTAAGTTTTACGCTAACAGTTTCTTTTCTCGCACTTATCCCTTGTGGAACTCTCTTCTGGCTCCTTGCTTTCTATTCAAGTTTAACCTTAAAAAAATTAAATGCAGTGTCAATTGCTATCTGCTGTCTTCCTGATTATTCTTCCTTCGTTCCCGTTCTTTAGTATTGTTTCTGTTTTCTAATTCTTCCACTCCCAGTAACCCCTTGGGCCTCAGTGGCTTTTTTGCTTTACATGGGGTGAAAATGTTTAAAAAAATATAGAGCAACCATGATGATTGCACTCATGAAAATAGCGAATTAGTTGATCAAGCGAGCTGAATTTTCATCTTTATGTGTCGTAGGCAATCATGGCTCTCCACAATTTCCTCTCTTTGGAGCTCTTAATATTTTTTCTTTTTGTTATTTCTTCTAAAACTTATTCCGCCATCGATTTGCTCAAGCTCACTAAGTAGGTTATGCGTCGTTTTCTTCTGTCCCTCTTGCTTTGAATCTATCCTGTGGGTATCAAATTTTCAAAGCCCTCTTTCTACATTATGTGATCTAGAAATTTCAACTGTCTCTTCTTGATGTTAAGTATAAGTTTGCTTCTTTTTTTTTTTTACATTTTCTCTAAAACTTAGTCATTGCTCACAGCTTCGGTTCATAGAATTCTCAGCATGGGATTCTCTAGAATTCACTGCCATACAAGAGGACAGATATCACGTAACAGTCTGGCACGCTTTTCCTTTCATTCTAAGGAAGTGAATACCCATTGTATTAATCAGGATATAATTTATCTGACGAAGCTAATGCCGGAAGTTCAGTTATTACGAGTACACTTACTCTTAATACTTGAGCTTCCTGTATTAGCGAATTGGTTCATAATACTAGGTGAAAAACCCACAAGGATATATATTTATCAAAATTGGGTTTTTCTGGCACAAGATCATCATGAATAGAGCGCTCGGATGATTGAACTCACGAAAATAGCGAATTGATTCATTTTGATACGCATTCATCAACTTTAGATTTATCTGGCACAAGGCTACCAAAATTGGGTACAAATACTAGCTAACAATAGTGATACAGTGTAACCCGGATATAAGAGAGTTGTCGGGACCGGAGAAGAAGTCTCTTATATCCGGGTTTCTCTTATATCCGGGTTTGGTCTATTTTGTTTAGGTAAGTATGGCTCTAATTTGGGATCAGAGAAAATCTCTCTTATATCCGGGTTTCTCTTATATCCGGGTCTCTTATATCCGGGTTACACTGTATGTATTTGTTGTGTAGAAAAACTGTAACTTATTTTACACTATTACTGTAACATGCTCGCCCAGCCGCTACGATTGGAGCATCTACTCATGAAATAGTGGAGACTACGTGGGTCGCAAAGGCGTAGCGCTTTTCCCTCGTACACTTGTCGTACTGAACTAATGTATTCTCAGTCCGTGTTCTCATGTGATTAAATCCTTCTTCACTCAACCTTTTGTTTCCAGCTTTTACTTTACAGTCTTACTAACCAATAAGCGTTATATAAACTTTATAACGAACCTTATTTATTGCCTGGCAGATGACTACCATAAATATGATGAATAAATTCAAGAAAAGTAGCGAATTGGCCTATAAGGCGAGCTAGACCTCATAATACGTATTAATCAGGCTTAAATTCGTTATCACGTGGCTAAAAGGCGTTTGTGAGGATCAAATAACTCTGCTTGCGAGTTGGCCTACGGTAGGCACCCATGGCTTTTCTTAGGAGGTCCGCTTTAGCCAGCCTTTGACCGACACGAGATTATATTCGTCACAAACGGAAACAGAGTTGAGAGACCATGACGTTAAGAATATTGTCCTCAAGAATCCAATTTAACAAATTCTTTTTCACAACACGTTAGATAGCATAATTAGATAAGAAATCTGAATATAAATAGAGTATGGTATTGACAAAGAGGCTCTCGAATCGGGCAAAAGCGGCAGGTGCAAAAACACAGGTAAAGAAAGGTGTGGAACAAAAATGATAGCAAAAGGAAGAGCAACACGAAAAAGCATTCGAATAGTTCTCTTGAAAGCTTATTTCTATAAATAAAATTCGTCAGTACAATACTCAAGCCATCCTGGCTATAACGATAAACTACAAGGCCATCGATTTTTGGTTTTGATGATCTTAGAACCACATTTTAATTGCTGTTTGTTCCCAGGTCCATCATGACCCGAGGTGGTAGCACCTGTTAGTGTCCTAGCAATGGCTAAATAGTTAACTCCCAAACTGGAGCTATGAACGTATAAAAATAGATTTTCACAGTAAAAATACCAGCAATATATTTTTGAAAAAAAGAAATACCAGCAATACATTTTCGAAAAACAAAATATTACCAGCAATACATTTGACTGTCGACAAAAACCATCTTTAAAAATACGTCAATGAAACCTGATCTACAAACTGATTTCTTATAAAGAAATCATATTCTATTCATACGAATCTATTGTAAAAACCTTGTCAGCATTAAATAACTCATTGAAGTTTTTATGCCGTAAAAATATACACCAAACAAGATACAAGATAGGGGTTACTGTTGGAATCGTTATGATGAATCACGTGTGATAGGAGTACAAAACTAGGCAACAGGAAATGAAGATTGTAAAGGAAAGGAGCATAGATAAAAAATCATTTGAAGAAGTGATGATTCAGGTGATCAGGGAAGTATCCAAGAGTAGCGGTTCTTTCACAAAACACTCTCCTTACATCTTACTTATCATAAAACGCAGATTGTGTGTGTGTGTGTGTGTGTGTGTGTGTGTGTGTGTGTGTGTGTGTGTGTGTACGTTTATATATTGGATCGGATTTCCTACATTTTTCAACCGATTTCAACACAACTTCACAGGACTACGTAAAATTACCTTGCGGTGGTTCTGACAGCGCCAAAAATTGGAAAAACACAATTTGAAAACAGGATAAAACACGATTCTGTCGCCAGAATGAAAGGGGGGGCAACTTATATCGAGTTATACTTATAAAACCCAGGTTGTGTGTGTGTGTGTGTGTGTGTGTGTGTGT